AGCCTCCTGAGTCGCTGGGATTACAGACACGCGTCACCATGCCCAGCTAATTTTTTGTATTTTTAGTAGAGACGGGGTTTCACCGTGTTGACCAGGATGGTCTCGATCTTTTGACCTCGTGATCCACCCGCCTCAGCCTCCCAAAGTGCTGGGATTACAGGCTTGAGCCACCGCGCCCGGCTAAATTTTTAACATCAATACTTTACCTCAGATGATCAATTTATTACTCTTCTTTGGAATAATACAAAGATCTTAGAATGCTTTTAGTTTGATCATCCCCTTTTTTATGATGTTGACACCATTCTCTTTCTGTCATACATGTAATTATTAATTCCTTTTCTGTAGCCATACTGTGCTTATATCCCCCAAACTAGTTATAATGATTATTGTTTCAATAGTCAATGCTTATTTTGATTCATGTACCAGTTTGCCAATTTTGCCAGGTTTTGTGTTGCTTATCTTTATTTTCTCCATCTAACTTCTTCCCTTGGATTCAATTTCTTTCTTCCCGAGCTATATCCTGTTGGTGTTGTTTCTATGACTGTTTTAGTCTCACCTTTTTCTGGAATGACACATTAACTGGATGTGAGATTCTAGATTGACAGTTATTCCTCCTTGGCTCTTTATTCCTGTTGAGAAGTATGGTATTAATTTGATATTCTCTAATTGCTTATAATATTTAATCTTATCAGTCCTTTTTTTGTTTATATTGCATTTTGTATATTGCTTAAAAAATATGTGTTGCTTAAAAATGCCTCCTGTACCACACAATTATAAATAAATTCTACTACGTATTTTCTAACAACTTTATAATTTTATTTCTTACATCTCTTTTATGCATTTGAAACCTATTTTATGTATGGTGTAAGGTGGTGTTTTAGGCCATTTTTGTGTTGCTATAAAGAAATACCTGGCCAGCCTGGACGTGGTGGCTCACGCCTATAACCCCAGCACTTTGGGAGGCCGAGTTGGGTGGATCAGGAGGTCAAGAGATCGAGACCATCCTGGTCAACATGGTGAAACCCCATCTCTACTAAAAATACAAAAATTAGCTGGGCATGGTGCCACATGCCCGTAGTCCCAGCTACTCGGGAGGCTGAGGCAGGAGAATTACTTGAACCCAGGAGGCGGAGGTTACGGTGAGCCAAGATCACGCCATTGCATTCCAGCCTGGGTAACAAGAGTGAAACTCTGTCTCA